ATCCATTTTCAATGTTAGCAGTTTTTTTCTGACCCGTTGTCAGTTCTTTATTGAAAATTAACACTTTAGCCTATTTATCATAATTGTCCCTCCTCAGTTTTCCTTTTGTCTTATAAATATTGAGATTTTTTTACTTTAAATTATTTTTGTGTTTAGAAAGTCCAACTGAAATCATTTGATGAATTACTTACATTTCTCTAAAGATTATTTTATCATTTAAAAATACATTGAGTCCCTCCCATACTCCACTGTAATATGCAATATGGTGAGAGTTCAATGTTTTCCTCAAAAACATTGCCCCATTTTCCCAAAATGATTTGTTGGTAATGCTGCTGCTTCATCTCCTTTCTGCATCTTTCTTTCTTTCACATATTCACACGTCCAACTCCTTCATGTTTCAGTGCAGATGTTCCCCTTTCAGGGAGCCTTCCCTGCCACCTGCTCATTCACACACCCAGGTGGTTATGTCCTCTCTGTAGGCTCCCAATTCACGTGGTGTAAACCCATTAATTCTTGGGTAATAACTGCCTCTCTGTCTTTCCAACTAGACTGAAATCTCTGGAGCATAGTGGCCATGTTTTATGCTTATTCTAGATAATCAATATTTATTTAATGACAAAAAATAAATTAACCCTATTGATTATACAATTCAAATCATTTACTTTTGAAATTTTCTAGGACAAAGATGAAGGGAGATATGTTAGCGTCACCCACAACAACTATATTCCTATTAAAGTTCTCCTTTTCTTTTGGTTACTAATGGTCTTTATGTGTTTCTGTACTGGGCTAGTCAACATGCAGTGGTGTACAGTGTTACAGCTTCATAGTGGGATGGTATTTTCTATCTACTGAATAGCCCTCTTTGTCTTTAATACTACTTTGCATGAAAGGAATATAGTCATAATGACTTTTACTCACATATTTTTGCCCAATATTTTCTCTTTAAATTGTTTGGTTTATTTCGGTTTATTTCTTGCTGGTGGCATTTAGTTGGATTTATTTGTCTTTGACTTTTAGTGTGAAGTTTGACCTGTGTTTATTTTCATGACTATTATATTTGATTTTATTTCTACCTTCTCTTTTAGGTATTTTATTTTGAGGCCTTTTGTTTTATTTTTTGGCTACCTTTTGCTACATAGACTGTGTTTGACTTCTGTTTATTTTCATAAAAGTTTTATTTGTCTAGTTCACAAAACTAAAATTCCAGTAACCAATTTTCTAATAAATTTTAGTTTTCAGTGTTATAAAGAAGATACATGACCCTGGCCAGTGTGGCTCAGTTGGTTGAGTATCATCCCGTGCACCCAAAGGTTACCAGTTCAATTCAAGGTACATACCCAGGTTGTGAGTTCCATTCCTGGTAGGGATGCGATAGGGGTGCAGGAGGCAGCCAATCAATGTTTCTCTCTCAAATCAATGTTTCCCTCTCCCTTTCTCTCTCTCTAAAAAATCAATAAAAACATATTTTAAAAAGAAGATATATGGATGTCTGAATTTTGTTTATCACAGAACTTTTTCATGTGTCAGCATAATTTAGAATTTTTCTTGTTCCTTGAACATGAAAAGTTTTACCATAACCTTCTCAGTTAAGAATCCATGATCAGATCACCCTATTGAGGTTACTTACAGTAGAACCCCCTTTTTTATGTCCATAATAGGGTTTATTCCATTATACAAAGAATTAATAGTTTCTATGGATTAGGAATTTTCTTATTGTCAAGTAAAAGAAAACATTTACTATTTAGGGTGCAATGGATTCTAGGCCCAGCTTTGCCATTAGCTCTGGAGACTTGGGAGAATTCACCAAACTTCTTTGGATTTTCATTTATTCATCTGCAAAATAAATTACCTCTAAATTTCAGAGACGAGTAATTTATAGTACAATCATTTTGTAATACTACTATTTATAATGCTTTCTAACAGAAATGGTCATCTTAAATTTTATTTTTCCCTTCCCTTTTTCACTTTAGCCTTATAGCATGTTCCTCCACTGTCTGATTTGCATAATTACAGGTTCATCGTTCCCTATTTTTCCAGACATTTTATCACAGTAGCATCTTTATTTGTTCTTCTACATCTCCTTTCTCTGAAGATAGCCTGAACTCATTTCACACTGTTCTCCAATCTCAGTTGCATTCAAGCCTTCTGAAATAGTGCATTATGAGGTCAGGTAACAATGTTCCTATCTCTTCCCCACACATCCCTCAGAATGGGGCTGTCTTAACAATCTTAAAAATGACATCGTGTGTCAGCAGCATCAAGTAGAAGCAGATAGGTGCACTGCATCACAGTACACTGGGCAGGAAGCATCACCCTGGTTTTCAGATGAAGAATCAATAAGACATCCACTTAAGAGGTTAGGGAACAATATGGACACAAATTGTTAGCTCAAGAAAAGTTTTCTACTCTGAGTAGGCAAAGTTACTAATGTGGAAAAAGAAAGAGATAGAAAAAAGAGAAGGGGAGAGAGAGAGAGAGAGAGAGAGAGAGAGAGAGAGAGAGAGAGAGAGAAAGAGATGAAAATGGGTGTCTTTACGGTGATCAGAATAAAAGGCCACAAGGCCATGGAATCCAAATCTCTTAATACTTAGGCTACTGAATTTCTGACAATTAACCTTGGACATTTCTCAGTATAATAAAAAAAGGTAAGAATTTGGTATTTTAAAAGTAAATACTAACTGTACATTTTAGCAATTACAAACTTCTTTTATTAAGGTTAATAAAAGAATGACATCTTTTTATGAATAATATACAAAATAAAATTTATTTATATTTTAACATGGAAAACTTTAGGGAGTCCTGTTCAATAAAATCTATAGAGTGATTACTCACAACAAAGTAAAAAGAGTACAGTTGAATACAAACTAAACTCATATGTGCAGACAGATAATATGCAGGGGGAAATGAAGATATATTTCTTCAGCATGTGAAAAACTTTCAGTGGTTTGTGGGAGTCTCTTTTATCAGAATCAATTCAAAGAGTATATTTTTGTATGGAAATGAGGTTTTGGGTGATAGGTGAACTTCAAAAATGACTGACACTTGTGAACATATCAGTTTGTACAATCACAAGGTTCATATAACTCCTTATTCCTTTATATTTTTTGTTTCTTTTAGAAAGCATGGTAAATAAAATATATTTACAATTTTAATTAAAATACAGAAAATATGTATTTTAATAAGAAGTCCCTATGGAAAATCAAATAATCAAGAAGTCAAAACAGAAGTGATTTTTATTTTTTCTGGGTCACATTCATTCTCAACTGCTCAAAGAAACTAATAGAAAATGCAAACAATTAAATAAGATGGTTTAATGTGGAAACTGTAGGAGGAGGTAGAGAAAACAGCTTGGCTATCTGTTACCTTGTGTTCTTTCATCACAATCCTATATAATAAAGAGGTAATATACAAATTGACCCTCACGCCCTTGCACAAGATGGCTGCCCCCATGTGGTCAAAAGATGGCCACCACAAGATGGCCAGCAGGGGAGGGCAGTTAGGGGTGACCAGGCCAGCAGGGGAGGGCAGTTAGGGGTGACCAGGCCGGCAGGGGAGGGCAGTTGGGAGGGACCAGGCCGGCAGGGGAGGGCAGTTGGGGGCAATCAAGTCGGCTGGGGAGCAGTAGGCGTCAATCAGGCTGGCAGGGGAGTGGTTAGGGGGTGATCAGGCTAGGTTAGGTGAGCGGTTGGGAGCCAGCAGTCCCGGATTGTGAGAGGGATGTCCCAGATTAGAGAGGGTGCAGGCTGGGCTGAGAGACACCCCCTCCTCCCAGTGCACAAATTTCGTGCACCGGGCCTCTAAGTGATTAAATAAAACCAATCCAAATAACAAAGGACACCAAAGAGCTCTGCTCCACGAGACCCAGAAACTGTCATTCTTAAAGTGAAAGGCAGGGCATGAATGAGTGATGAAAAGACATAAATATACATATACATTTCATACACTAATTGGTCCCACACAAAGATCTGATTGAAATAATTTTAGAATTACAATATTCTTTAAGGGTAAATAGTAAACTGTCAAGCAGAGTGATAACAAAAACACCAGATTATATACGAACAACTAGTTTTGAGACCAGCTCTGGCACACACAACTAAATAACCATGGAGAATCATGTGCAGGGTCCTTGTGTTTCTTTTAGACACTGAGACATATTTCCTTATGCGTAAAAGGAGCTGGTTAGACCAGGTTAGACTGTGTGACCTCTAAGACCTGTCTGTTTCCAATAACTATGAGTCTTCTGCTCTTTTCCCAAGTACGTGATTTCTACTACCCTCTATTTCTGTCAGGCAGATGGCTTCAGTGGGCAAATCATCTCTCTGAAATGGGTGGCTAACAAGCTTTTTCCAATAGTACTATTATTTCTTTCTTATATGCCATCTCTATGAATAAAAGAAAAAACAGTCCATAATTCTCAAAGCATTCACATATTTTAGCTAAATCTATCTTCCTGAGGGTTGAGGAGTGGGGAGAGAAGGAAAGAACAATTTTTAGACTTGCTAAACAGTACGGTCAACTGTCAAATCTGCCACTTGTTAGTTGTGTGATCATAGCCATGTATTTTTTTTTATTTTGAGTCTCTGTGTTCTTACCTATGAATTTTAGAAAATAATAGCACCCACTTTATGAGGTTGTTAGAGAAGTAAATGATATAATGCTCTTAAACATTTAGCATAAATCCAACACATAGTACTTCAGAAATGTTTATAATTAACATTATGTATGTCTTAATAAATATTTCTCATCAGAATAGTTGCAGGAGGAGGAGTGGGAACAGCATTTTCTTTTCTTGTTTGTATAAGCATATGCTTCTATACAGGCATCTTGTAGCTTTGCTTGACACTTGAAGAAAAGAGGTGACAGTGAAACATCGAAAATACTGTGAAATGTCGCAGTCTGTTTTATGACCAGATATTTTAAATGCCTTCACTGTTCAGAAGGTGATGCTATTTTCTTTGCAAACCCTGACACGTATCTGAACATTCTGCATTTCCTTTCAGTGACTGTTGGCCCTGATAAGCCTGCACGTGAATTTGCAGAAGACAGCGCTGCCTGGACTGAAGGTGTGTCAGACCTCCAGGAGGTGGTGCCATTGAAGGAACGGATGGCGAGGTACCAAGCAGCTGTTTCCAAGGGTGACCGCCACAGCTTCTCCGCCAATGTAAGCTGCTCCTGCTGGTTTTGTATTAGGCAATGTGCTTGTTGTCTGCTCTTCACACACCCTCCTTCTATTGCAATATAAGAATACTATTGGACAAAGGGATAAAGTAGAAAAAGCACAGAAATCGTGCGCATCAAATTCAGAGGATCCAAATTGAAGCGTCAGCTCTCTACTTGTTAACTGTGTGATTTGGGCTACTCTCCTAACTCCTCTCAGAGCTTCAGTTTCCGTAACTGAAAAAATGGGAATAACCATCTACCACAGAGGGCCTTAGGGAGGAGTCAAAGAGATAATTTATGTATAAGCCATAAGGCACTGTATAAATGTGTTCTTATTGCCATCATTATCATTTAACCTATAGCTATTCTCCTCAGGAAAGTTGGGAATTAATTTCAAATTTTAATAATGTAGGCCTGCATGCCTCCCTCTTTGGTCTCATGTATAGTTCATTTAAAATCACTGGCAGTATAATTTCTTTTGCATTTCTCATTTCTCTGTATGTACTAAATCCATTAGGTATAGGTTAATCAACATAGAAATGAGGGAATTAGCAATGTAGGCACTCTGCTAAACCAATTATGATTATAGGAAACAGCAGGATTCAGTAAGACCACCAATTTTTAGAGGCAAATATAACTTTGAATATAAAATTATATTCAAAAGAATTTGTGTTCCATATTCTGTGGCCTTCGATCCACAGGATTTGATGAGTCATTTTATGAGTAGCAGCTTTATAGCTTAATGGAGTATAAAAACATTATTTTATAATTATAATCACCAAATTAGTAAAATTATTCATTTAACCAAAAGAGAAAGAGAGTGAGAATAGCCCAAAAGGGTAGTATTCTAAAATAGCTATTCTTAACATTCTGTTTTGCAAATTATTTAGAGACAAGGCTGACTGCCAAACTCATTAACAATGTTGCAATTCTAGATGACATTTAAGTTTTTACATAGTCATTAAAAATCCATTTTAGATGCAGAATAGATTTTGAATGAATGTAAAGAAATGACATAAGTCCCTAGATCACTTCCAAAACAAATAGTATCACTCTAGCACTTCCCAAAAGTCTTCTTAGATAGCACCCCCTGCTGGATCATTAAGGAACTTCACTACAAATTAGCATTCTAAATTGGAGAAATGATTCTTGGGGAAACAAGCTGATTTTGAAAATACTTAATTAAAGACTGGCTATTTAGTAAACCATCTTTTATCATATACCATAAAACCATAAAAAACTTCTGTAGGGCATAATATGTATTTATGATGTGCAAAAAAGAGAATATTTAAATTGGGCACATAGGAAACTAAATTATCACAATTTAATACAAAAAATTTAATGTAATTCTATTCTGGAGATAATTTACATATAAGAAATTAAATAATCCTTCCTTTTCCTGCCAATTTACAAAAAAAGAAAACAAAACTGAGGGAAAGTGATTTATGGAGATCATGTAATTTGTGGCAAAGGCATGCTAAATCTCTAGTTTCTTGACTTCAGTACTCTTTCAACTGCATTCAACTGCCTCCTCTCATACATGAAAGCAGTTTTGGCCCAACAACTGTCCTATTATTTGGTTTAACCCTAAGTAAATATTTTGAGAGGAAATAAAGAACACATTACTGGTATCTCAGAGAAATCCTGGTAAATATCTAAAGAAACGGAAAAAAAAGCATACAACAACAAAAAAATCTGCCTTATTGGTCAGCTGCATCAAATGTGTGTTCAGTTTTTTTAAAATAATGGGAACTGCTTGTGACTATATTTCTGTCTACACAAATAATCCAAATATTAAATGTGCAAAATCTGGAAGTCACTGATTCAGTCCCAAACTGTACCCATTATATTTCAATCACGTTGCAATAGCTGACAATGATGGGTTGCTCATTGTCCTAGCCTCAGCCAGATGGCATTTGGTTGAATCTAAATGAAAGTCATGCTCTTGAAAAGGCATCAGGCTGCAGCAGCCTCCAGAAGAGAAGGGGGAAGTAACATTTTTCAAGAAACAAATTAAAGTGCCAGATTCTGTGCTCTGTAATTTTATTTCCTTTATCCTTTTTAAGACACACAAGAAATCTTTGAGAAATGTACTGTTATTCCCAGTTTATGAGAAATAAAACTGAGGTTCAGGAACTCTGGTCCAAGGTTTTAAGTGTCAGAACTGGGATTAGAATCACTCCACAAATTATGGTATTTCTAATTTGCTCTAGAACCCAAAGACAGTTCTGGTAAAGGAAATTGGTGATTATGTAATATATTTACCTAGATTTAGGTGTAGGGTATTTAAATTATTATTAAACTAACAGTGTTAGGTAGGTTCCGTGTTAGGTATTTAAATTAACATATTAAGATAACTTTACTATTGGCATATCCATTAGAGGCTAAGTCTTATTTCCTACTCCAAGAATAAGAAAACTAGAATAAGGATAAACATAAAAAGGTTCAAAACAAAACAATCTAAGTTATGTGCTCATTTACAAGAACATGGATTAGTTGGGATGTTTAGTACATGGTGCTAAACAAGGCAAAATCATGGGAGGGGATCTCAGTCTGAGCCAGCTTAGGCTACTGACTGCCCCTTGAGAGTAAATCCTCCATCTACATATGTAAACCTTCATTTACAATCTGAGCTGAACAAGGAAAGCTTATCACCACCCCTAAACTACAGCTTAAAGGACTTGCCCCACTTGGGTGGGTAACAGCAGCTGTAGTGCAGCAGGACCAGGATGTTAGGGATCGCGATGGTATTAGTAAAAATAATCAACTGTCTGCATTTTGCATGTACAATTTGCTCTATTCCAAAGCACAGTGCTAAAGGAAAGGAATGGGCATATCTGTTTTTTATATCTGTTTTTTAATCTATTTGGTAGAAGACAGGCAACCTGTTCGGTATAGGAATTGACATTTTTGAGAAAATGCACATACTGGGAAAGTATCCATTTACTAGCATAATTGCTGGGGTTTACCAGATTAACTTACATATGATTTGGACATTGTTTATACTTGTTGGCAAGAGTAAGGTTTTTCTTAACAATAATTACTTTAATTTCTATAATTTAATATTTATATACTGGGTATGGCAAAAGTAGATTTACAGTTATAGTACAAATAAATAATACAATAATTAATACATAACAATATAAGCATAAACTCTGTGTTTACTGTACTCACAACTGTAAACCTACTTTTGCCCCACCCTGTATCTTCTTTAGATGCTCAATTGAGAAAGGCCACTTATATAAATTAAATGGTAGGGGTTAAAAAAAGAAAAAAAAGACAGTAGCCTTAATTCACCCTTCCCCTTCATTATCTCTAATTTCAAAAGGGACACCATACTTTCTCAGACTTTACCATGTATCAGATGGCAGTAACTGACCAGCACTTATATTTGACTTTGTTGCAGAATCTGATAGAATATCTGTCTAGTACATACAAGTGTACAATCATCCCTTTTTTTCCATAGAGTGCATATTCTTAACTATTCAAGAGTCCATGTACCTGGGGAAAGGTTGTGAACTTCATAAAGCGACCACTTGAATATTTGCTAGAATTCAGATAATCTTGAGTATCCATTTAGTCTCCAATATTTTGGAATATGGGAAACCCCAAGACGGTAGTTGTGTTTTTGGTATCTGTTTGAGAGAGAGAATATGCACTGGGGTAATGATCCCAGGTCCACAGGAGTCCACGGTCCATGGCATGCAAACCTCAGCTCAGCGGCATCCAGGGCATCCAGTTACTCCCATGTCTCAAGGCTTCCAAGGTTATGTCAGGGCTGAGCCAGACCTCAGGAGACCTGCTGTGGTTTGAAGTGTTGCTGAGTCTGCTCCCAGTTCTAAGGAGACCTGGAGGAGGGGGGTTGGCAGGAGGTCTGTTTGCTTGAGAGTTGTCTTTCCCATCTGGGCTTGAGTGCCTGCTGGGCTGGGGAGTGTGCTTGAGTTATGTAGCACTTCCCACTGGGGCATAGAATCTGACAGGACTCCTCAGTGTTTTTCAAGTTGTTCCAAATATTGCCTGTTGAAATAGATTCTCTCATCTGTACAATGCCAGTGACAAGCTAGAATCCTTATCATCTTAGCCCCCACCCCACCCCACCCCACCCCCACCTGTCCTCACACACCAACACTAGGAGCTGAGTCCTGGGGTGGCGTTAGCTGCTGTTTTTCTGCCTGTTAGAATCCTTTCATCTTAGCCCCCACCCCACCCCACCCCCACCTGTCCTCACACACCAACACTAGGAGCTGAGTCCTGGGGTGGCGTTAGCTGCTGTTTTTCTGCCTGTCCTTTAAGGCTAACAAGGATTCAGACAGACAGCTGTGATTAAGACAGACCCCAGGTGAGTTCCAACTCCAGCTCCAACACTCACACCCGAGCTGTGAGAATTTACAAGCTGCCTTACTTTTCCAAACCTCAATTTCCTGACTTAAAAATCAAGGTAATAAGTATCCATATTTCAAAGAAAATGGAGAAGCATCGAATGACAAGATATTTGTAAGTACATAGCAACTCACAGTGTACTGTGTATTCAGTAGTTGTTATTGCTGACATTAATATTTTTGCCTCAGATATACTCCGAGGTTATTTTGTTCATCCTTAATGATTTAAATCCATTTTGGAGTGAGTCAAATGTTTTTAATATTCTAAATGTGTTGCCTATAACATGTTGGATTTTAATGACAATATTATTGGGTTAAAATTGAATCTAGTGTTTTAATTTCTACTTGTCTATGTATTATTAGAGAAATACATCCTAATAGTTCTAATCTCCAGGCATCAAGATCTGAAAGGAGAATTAACTTACTATTTTTAATATTCTTCTAACTTATATCAAAAAGCAGATAAATGAGAAAATAACATGGAGAGATTATTTTTACTAAGGGCTTCTGTAAGAGTATACTGAAATAATTACATATATTAATGTCCTTTTTAATATATCACCCACCCATAATTGTCAACTATTTTTTTAAATAGCTTGAGAATCCTATCCTGAGAAAAATATAAAGCTGAATTTTCCTTTTTTTTTTTTTAATGGTCCTAGATGATGGAGGAAGCAGACATGTGCACAGTGCCTGGTGGTTTGGCCAGAGTGAAGAAACAATTTGAGAAGGACAAAATTGCTTCTTCCTATAATACCTTTTCTCAGCACCAGTACCAGCATCAGACCAGATCTGAGCAGGTAATACTGCTATAGTTTATGGATAAGTCAAGTAAGGTTGAAATGCTCTCATTTCACTGCCCCTACTAACCCCCCACCTTTAGTGGTACATTTCTTTTCATTCCTCATTAACAAAAATGATAAAATGTAAACGTTTTAGAAAACCATTTTTAAAGCATATCAATGTACCACTTTACTGTCTTGGAGAATTTTGCCACATTTCTTGGGAACCATGCTGGAATATTTTTCCTCTCAGCATATAATGTTTCAAGCATAAATGAAAATTAAATAGCTTAGGTTAGTCAGCAGGTAAATAGAAACATTGAGTACAGTTTTTATATTGAGCCTCTTCTTCTAGGTTATAATTCCTAGTAAACTATCTGCTTGTTGTTGGCACAAATTAAATCTGAAGCATTATTTAGCTGTTTTATTGCGGTGAGTTTTCTGTTTTCTTTAAAAATCATCAAAAATTGGCCAGTGGAACCCAGATGTTATGTAAAACTATATAATGATACCTTATATAAAAGAATTTCCCCATTTCATTCTTTCATTATCATATATCACTAAATATAATCATGGGGTATAATGATATTTGAATGTAAGAATCTAAGTAATAAAACTCATTAGACTGAGCTTGGTACTTTGAAAATAAGGAATTGCATTGTAAACAGCTGCACTTAGGCCCGTGTTTTCCATGAGGAAGAAAGTAACCGGGGTATTTCTGAAATTTTGTAGTAGGAGATAAAAGGGGTTTTTGTTTTTTTAATCTCTACAATATTTAGAATTGCCTAAGTTTTAAAAATAAAGCAATCGGTATGTTTGGTGGGGGAGAGTATATCAGATAGAATAATTAAAAATCTGATATGTGAAGGAGTATTTGTTTTCTTTTTCTGGCATTGTCTAAAAACTAAAAAACATGCAATCTAGACAGCTTAATACATTTATGTTAGATTTCTTTTAATTTTACCAAAGGAAACATAATGTAAATAAGAAATTAAGAAAGGATATAGTTGTAATCTAATATATAGCTCTTGCAACATATAAGTGAGTCAATTGTGTGTGTTTACTTGAAATTGGTCAACAAGACAAAATACAGCTATATCATTAATAATTTAAGTAACAACTCCTACATAGAAATGTAGGCAATGCATTTGCAGAGCCTCTGTTTTGCAGGAAGCACTACAGTAGACTGTAAGGGCTATGGGATTTGTGGATCCGAGTTCACAGGCCACCTCTGTCAGCAGCTAAGTGGCAGGCACAGGGTACCTTCATGGGTGTATGGCTGGGCATTTGCACAGAGCCCCATTCCTAGAAGTGCCCTGCATTTAGCTTAATGCTCTACTTCCATCTTCTTGAAGTTCTGAATAGTTCCTTAACAAGGGACCCCATACTTTCATTTTGCACCGGGTCTGGCAATTCTGTGGCCAATACCACATAAACCAAATTCATAACCCACTTAAGCCTCCGTTTCTGATAAGTAAGATGTGAAACCTGTTGAGTGATTTGTTTATTCATGAGGTTATTATAGAGTTCTAATATAATAACAAAAGGACTATTTCTGTGAAAGTATTTCATTATCCATGAAACTTGGACTCAGTGAGGACTCTAATATTACAAGACAGAAAACCCAACCCAGAGTGGCTGAAACCCAAAGCAACTGATAGATTCACCAAAAGGCAGTCTTATGTAAGGGAGGTTGTTGTAAACTCCAGTGGTATACCAGAGCAGCTGGCTTTTGCCAACTCTTTGATTAGTTAATTTTTAGGAATCTTGTTAACCAGATGATGTCATGTTAACAGCTTGAAATTAGCCATAGTGAGAATGTTTATATCAGGAAAAATGCCAAATGCAACAAATCAAGGATTTCTTTCTTTCCTTCTTTTTTTTAGAACCCATTTTTAAGTATGTAAGAATCTTCATTGATATAAGGGCTCAAAACATGTGCCTAGCATGGTGGCTAAGCACAGAAACTGAAGTCAGATCACTTGGGTCCAAATTCCTGCTCCATCACTATTAGATGTGTGACATTAGGGGTGTTCCTAATTTCTCTGTGTCTCAATTTCCTCAATTATAAAGTCAAAGTCAAGGTTATAATAGTACCTCCGCAATAGGTTTGTTAAGAGGATGATTAGTTATATTTGTAAAGTGCTTAAAATTGTGCCTGGCCCATTTTAAGCACCGCACAAGTGTTTGTTTAAAAAAGTTAAGTATTATCTTCATTGTATTTCTTTTTTCTACCTCTCAGCCTCGCTTCCTCTGAACTGCCCCCATTCTCACCCAGGTTGCCCCCAGATAGTTGTAAAAATAATTTTTGCAGAGAAAGGGTAAGAATCCTTTTCCAGAAGTCCCAGGAAAAGGCCTTACCCATCTAACTGGCTCTAAATGAAACACACAAGCCCTGTTAGCACTAATTGCTATAGCCAGAGATGCTGGTTGACTTAGGCCTCTGTACCTGTTTACCTAAATGTTCAGCATATACAGCTATCAATAAGGAATAAATGAATAGTAGGTAAAAACAAAGGCAACCAACAAACTATATATACTTTCACAATAAGCTCCTTGCAAATGTAGTTTATGATGAAAAGACGTAGATGCTATTCTATGAATATGAAATACTGTGTGTGGGAGTAGGGAAAAACCAACCAAGCACTAGAAGTCAAATCTGCATGACTCTGGGCCTGTAGTGACCTCTCAGTTTCATTATCTACGTTTAGACATGCTAATAATACCCAATAATTCCATGAGGAATGACTAAACCTATTCATAATGCAATGCAATATAAATAAAATATAAAGAGGACATATGTAAAAACAAACTATTAAAGACAATTTATTGAACTGTATGCTAAAGTCTGTAGGAAAAGAAAGAAAAAAGTTACCTGCACTTTAGAAAATGAATAACTTTAATTTATAATGCTTATTGGAAATTTGAAATACATGTTCAATTTAGTAATAGAGTGGAAAATGTAGAAAAATTCTGTCTTAGATATTAACTTAAACTTTTAAAGCTATCAAATGCATTCTAAAAATTACTTTCTTTATCAGCAGAGATTGAGGACAAGATGCTTGCTGGTCAGCACAGACAGTTATTTCTGTCTTACCTAAGCTGTTGTTGGTTCTAAGGGTATTTCCAGACTTTTTTCTTGTTAAATGTCCTTGAGATTTATCTCTCTACTAAGTCTGCCCTTAGTCAAAAATTTATATATTTTTATTTTGTCAACATAAAATTAATATTAATTTGGAAATCAAGTTTCATTAGAGTTAAGAGAAAGAACATTTCTTTTGGGTTTCTGACGATATTTAATGTCACCATTAGTAATAATTTCATAAAGTATAATAATTAAGTCCAATCTGCTTCTTTTCTTCCTAATGTATTGAAGTCAGATGTTTCAGGATAATTAGCTGATGATTTGGTAACAGTTTGTGTGGGAAATTAGCAACGGGGCTAAACAAGTTTTTTGTTGTTGTTTTAAAAAAATATATTTTCATTGATTTCAGAGAGGAAGGGAGAGAGAGATAGAAACATCAGTGATGAGAAAGAATCATTGATTGCCTGCCTCCTGCACACCCCCCACTGGGGATCAAGTCTGCAACTTGGACATGTGCCCTTGACCATTAATGGAACCGTGACCTTTTGGTTCCATAGGTTTGCTCTCAACCACTAAGACACGCCCTCCAGGCACTAAACAAGTTTTGAAAATTAAACTATCTTTGAGGTGAAAGATCCCTTTTGTTTGCTGATTGATCAGACTCTTTTATAACTATTGAAAAGGGGTTCTGAAATAGAAAAAATAATGTGGTACAAGATAAAGGAACACTCATTTATGCCAAACATTTCAAACTTGGGATAATATCCACCATTTTTAACAACACCCATTTAGATTCTGCTTTTCAAAACAGTCATTCCTGATTCCAATATCTATGAATGAAACCCAACCCTGCTAAGGGGTTATAAATCACTCAGTTGGTCTCCAGTTGGTATTTAGGCTAGAAATATCTCAGCAGCATTGTTTCTGGCCTTGCCTTAGGATGGAGTTCTTAGCATTCCATGCCAGCGAAAATATTTGTTACCCTTAATGCTAGAATGGAAAGGACCACTTAAGAGGGATGTTTTTAATCCATGTATTAAAAAGGCTCAATTTGGAAGAGCATTCTGAATAATCCATCCCCTCTTTCTTAAAAGGGTGTCTTAAAATATGCTAGAGCAGATTAGAATAGATGTGTTATTGGCATGAAAAGCCATTGTCTTTTTCTGAGTTCATTTTCACTTGCCCATTCTAGGGTTTCTTTTTTTTAAAAAAGACATTCCTCCTCTTTTTCTTTTTTTTTTAACAGCTTTATGGAGATATGCTTTACATACCATCAATTTCACCCTACAATGCAATGACTAGAATATTTACAGAGTTGCAGTGTCCCCACAATCTAATTTTCAAACATTCCCATTCCCCCCAGAATAAACCATGGACCCCTGAGCAGACTGAGATGGTCATCCCTTGTGCCACAGTCTCACACATAGGGTTTGATGCTCATCTTTTCCTGTGAATTTCATCTTCATTTTCTTTCCCCATATTTATGCAGTACTGAGCAGCTCTTTGCTTGTGAATTGTGAAGTCCTAGAAGGCTCTTCTTTTCTGGAGTTGCTTTTTTATTATTTTTAAGTGTCTTAAGTAGAGAAGAACAGATGGAGCCCCCAAATCTTTGGAAGTAATCAGTGCAATGCAGAGCTTAGGTAATTGCTTTCATGTGAAAATGGTTGCACCAAATCCATGTCAAGAGTCTGAAGTATTCCTGACCTTCACTTCCTGTTGCCAAGTCTGATGTGGTCCGGGGGGAGTTGCAAGACAGTGTGTTTCTTTCCACATACATCTGTGTTGCAAAAATCCTAATGTCAACATTAGCACTCTGTAAGATTATTTGTATTTGGAACAATCCCTAGAGAATTTTAGGTTGCTAGAAATCATTTTTGACAGCTTGTGACAGATATAATCTGACATCTATGTGTTTTGGACTCTTAAAAGGTGA